TCTACTTGCTTGCTGCCTGGAGCATGTTCTGGAACCCACAGCATCAGCCATCACCTGAGAGCTTGTTGGAGATGCTGGATCTCAGGCCCCACCTCCGACCTCTACTCAAACAGAACGTGTATTGTAGCCAGATACTTTGGTGATGTGTATGTGTGTTAAAGTTTGAGAAGCATTATCCTATGCCACTCAATATCATTATCATATGCCACTTATGATTGTTCCTGAGTCACTTTTATGGATTTGGCCAAATCTGTGTTTGACCTGAACTTATGACTCATCTATCTTTTCCACTTAAATATATTGCCTTCAAAAGAAAATACAACTGTGGTAAAAAAAAACAACAAAAAAACAAACAAAAAAAACTATGCTAATGTGATAATCTTATTATGGTAAATAGCTATAAATAATTATAGTTATAAATCTATGATCAATAGAAGAATGATACCATTTTTTATAAATAGAAGGGTAAGTGCTAATGTACATGCACCACTGTCATTACCTCTCCAGGCACTATCCTGCAGTGCTTCCATTAAGGGGTGGGATAATTTCTCCATCCTTTCAATATGGGCTTGACCACGTTTCTTGCTTTGCCCAATGGTATATTTGCAAGAGCAAGACAGCAGAGGTTTGGGAAGTGCTTGTATGTTGGGTCTTGCCCTCTTGCTGCTTTTGCAAACTTGAGACCACCATGTGAACCAAAATAAAAGGTTATTGATTTAAGCCACAAAGGTTGGAGGTTGTTCGTTACACTGCACAGACTCATAGACACAACTGTTTTCTAACATTCTGTTTGCTTGCAAGACAATAATTTCCATGTTCTGTAGCAGATCAGAGTGAAATGATCTGTTTTGCTTCAATCTTAATCACTTGAAAACAAAATCTAAATAGTGAGTATCTTGGGGAGGGCATTCCATGCTGTTCTTTTTGTGTTCAATACACATATAGACTCCCTAAAACACACCTAGCACTCTCACCCTCAAACATGTCTTGATTTCCCCCCCCCCAATTAAGACATAAAAAGTTCACCCCTGGCTAAAGTTCACTGTTGCATTGAAATCAGGCTATCTCAGACATTGTGGCATCATTAATGATGGTTTGCAGTAAGATATTGATGTTTTCTCATGGTTTGGAGGTAGTTCTGTACATACGCTCTTATCTGGTAAGAGTAAAATAAATTTGTGTGTTTTCCATCACAAGGAATCCCATGGAGAATCACAATAATAATTTTTTTAATTTTAATTTTTTCCCCTTTCTTTTTTTTTTTTGAGGATTTTGATTAATTTTTTTTTCTTTTTTGAAAAAAGCCGACTAATATTTACTGGCAAACTCGCTGAAATGCAGCCTTTCTTAAAACAGCTTTAATGAAATATAATTTACACAGCATAAAATGCACTCACTTAAAATGTACGATTCAGTGATTTTCAGTGTATTGACAGCATTGTGCAAACATCACCACAATCTAATCCTAGAAAATTTTCATTACCCCAAAAAGAAATTCTGTACCCAGTAGCAGTCACTCTCTATCTTCCCTGATCCTCCATCCTAGAAAACCACTTAGTCTTCTTTCTGTCTCTGTGGATTTGCCTATTCCGGACATTTCATATACATGGGATCGTACAATATGCGGTCTTTGTGCCTGGCTTCTTTTGCTTAGTATGATGTTTTTTGAAGTTCATCCATGTTGTCATATGTATCTGTGTTATATTTTTAATTGCTGAATACTATTCCGTTATATAGATATACTCCCACATTTTATTAATCTGTTCATCAGTTAATGGATTTGGGATTGTTTTTACTTGGGCTATTATGAATAATGCTGCTATGAAAATTTATATACAGTTTCTTGTATGGACATAAGTTTTAATTTCTCTTGGGTACATACCTGAGAATGGGATTACTGGGTCACATGGCAAGTTTATGTTTAACCATTTGAGCAGCTGTCTGACTGTTTACCAAAGTGACTGTGTCATTTTACATTCCCATCAGCAGCGTATGAGGGTTTCAGTTTCTTCAAGTTCTTGTCAACACTTGTTGTTATCTTATGATTATAACTTTCCTAGTGGTTGTGAAATAGTATCTCATTGTGCTTTTGATTTGTATTTCCCTGATAGTTCAGCATCTTTTCATGTATTTGTTTATCTTTTTTTGAGAAATGGCTATTCAGTTCATTTGCCTGTTTTAAAAATAGGTTGTCTTTTTGTCGTCGAGTTGTAAGAGTTCTTACTTTTGAGTTCAAAGTCCCTTATCAGATAAAGGATTTGCAAAAAAAATTTTCCCGTTCTATGAATCATCTTTTCACTTTCTTGATGGTATACTTTGAAGCACAGAAGTTTTTAAAGAGGTCCAATTCATCTATGTTTTGCTTTTGTTCTTTGTGCTTTTGGTGTCATATCTAAAAAATCATTTTCTAACCCAAGGTCATAAAGATTTACTCCTGTGTTATATTTACTTTGAAGAATTTTATAGTTTTACATCTGTGATCCACTTTGAGCTAATTTTTATATATGATGTGAGTTAGGAGTCTACCTTTATTCTTTTGTATGTGAATATGCAGATGTCCCAGCACTATGTATTGAATAGATTATCTTTCCCCATTGAATGGTCTAGGTATGCTTGTTGAATGAAAAATAGCTTTTGTTTACATGAACATCATTATGACTTTTAGATGTTGGGATTTTATTTAACTATTAGGTTTCCTTCTATCTTATGGGAAAATATTAATATCTTTCTTTCTTTGAAAGACCAAAACACAGAGAGAGAGACATAAACACCCCAGACATATTCTCTCTCTCTCTCTCTCTCTCTCTCTCTCATATGCATACAGTTTCTCCTTTTCCAAAGCACCATTCAAGCCCTTAAATACCCAGAATAATAGTATTTGAAAGAAAAACTTGATAAAGTGGGTGGCTTTCATTCACATATTACTATGTGAATGTGGTAATATTATATATTACCAAGTCAGTTACAATAGTTTGCCTATGATATTCCAGTAGCTAAATAGTTTATGACAAATTACTTATACTCCTTAACTACTTTGTAGTAAGTATTTTAATATTGGCCTTACCAAATGTTGCAATATCTGAGCTATGGACAGAGTTAGAAAGGTTTTTGGAGCAATGCAACAGTTTTATGCCAGATGGTCACTAGGGAGTTAGAGAAGGGAAGGGAAAAATGTGTCCAGTCTTTAAGTCTTTGATTACAAAAAGACTTGGGCAGTAAGTGGTTTCTTAAAATGAGGAACATGGCATAGCAGGGTCATTAATCAATGAGCTTTTTTTGGATCTCAGCCTGTTTCAGAGCCCTCAGTGGCATCAAAGAGTTATATAGTTTAACATTCCAGCTCTTGGTGGGCCACTTAATTATTGATCTGTTCAACAGAGATTTATTGAGCATTTTCTATGTGCCAGATATTATGCTACGTGCTAAGGAGATACCGAGTGGATTTCAGTACACACATAATCACTGTCTTCATGGAATTTAAATTCTTAAATTAATATACATTTAGCTACAATTTCCCATTTTCCTTATGTATGTCAACTTTTGGGACACCCTGCATAATTAAAAATACAAATGTAATATTGAAAATAAGGTGAATGACATGGAAGAGATGATACCTTAGGGGCTAAATATGGGCCAGGGTGGCTGGATTTGAATGCCAGCTCCATGTGATTCTCGAATATTCTACTCAACTTTTCAGTTTCCTTTTCTATAAAACAAGAGTAATCACAGTACATACATTTTAGAGTTTTTGTGTGGATTATATATAGTGATGCAATCCATGCTTAGAGTCTGGGTCTTAGTAAATACTCACTAAATCAGTAAATCAGTGTACATGATGCTGTATATTCTTAAATTCTATATATTCAAACTAGGATGTTTCTTTCTATAGAGAGTTTGGGGTGCATTGGGTTTTTTTTCCAGTTTCAATTATAAAAGTAATATGTGTTGTGGTAAAATATTACATAGCAGTTAAGTGTTAGATTAAAATCAAAGCCCCCTCTTTAATCTCCCTTTAACCAGTTCCCCAGAGCTACACTCAGCATTTCTTGTTATCCCTCCAGCTGTGTTCTTTGCCTTTAACAATGCTATTTCTGTTATTTACATATATATTAGTGAGGTTTGTTTTAATATAGAGGTCATAGTACCCATATTACTATCCTATATCAGATTTTTAAAATTAATACTATGACCTGAGAATTTGTTTTCATGTCTGTCCATGTAGATACAGATATGCTGCTTTCTTTTTCATGGTATATAGTCTTATGTTATATGGATGTAACAGCCTAACTAGGACCCTACAAAAGGGCTCTGCTGTAGATCTATCCATATGGAGATCATGACCTTCACAAGTTCCAAATTCAATCTTTACAGACATCATTTTCTCAGGTCTCGATTGCTCTTTCCTGCTTCCCACATGCAAATGGGCTTCGTCTTCTGTGTACTTCTGATACCACTCGGAACTTTTTTCCCCCACTCCATCTTGAAATCTAACTTTCAGCCAAGCCAGAAATCCAATGTCAAATCCTGAATGGATACAAACAACTTATTCACAAAGACAATACAGAAACACACCTATAAAATAACAGCTCTTTTGCAGATAGATGTGATTCCATGGTAAAAAGGATTTTCCAATTACAGTTCATCTAAGGACACTTCACTGCTAAGCAGGAAAAGACAATAATATTTGCTTCGAGAAGATTTTAGATAGCCTTTTTGTTCAATTGCAGCTTAATTATTTTAGTAGATTAAGAGGTTGAGTAGTGGATTAGCATTGTAGAGAGGGTATATAAACCCTATACACTGGGTATAGTAATAATATTTTTTGATTTGATGACTGTGTGTCTTTGTGTCATCTGTTTGCAAGAAATCTCACTAATATATTATCTTTCTGATATAGTTTAAAAAAAAAACAAACATAGATTCAGATTTTGAAGTACAAAGAGCTGTTTCTCTCCATGAGAATTCTAAAACTCTTGTCTGTGTCTGTTTGCTTCCTTCAGGGGGCGGTGCCGTGAGTTTGACTGAGTGGACATCACTTGCAGTTGGTCCAGAGCTGCCTGGTGAGTGTTCTGCACCCTGTGGGTGAAGAGTTGGTAGCCATGGGGTTCTAGAGCTTTTGGTCTGTAAAGCGAATCCCTTCATTCCTGCCAATGCCCCGTCTGAAATGCCTCTCAAAACCACTTCACAGACATTTTCCTTGAGGCAGCGGAACATTAAGCACAATCTCCCAGTGTTTTCCAGGTTCAAGTGTATTCATTCCACTGCTAACCTTGGGTAGTTTACCTTTTGCTACATTTTCTACTTGCTGTCTGTGATAGCTTTGCCTGGATTTGGTAAGCATTGGAAGTTATCGTTGTTTATAATTCTTTTTCTGAGGAGAAATGTATATGATTTTTTAGTCCTATGCAGATTTCCCTTAAGGAAGCTTCCCCCCACTGATGTGAAAAATCACAACTGTGCTCGTGGTCCGTGGGAATCCCCCATTTTAGGGGAACTACTTGTGGAGATGATATAAATAAATTCTTCTACTGCCCCCCTAATGTTCCACTTACCAACCTGTAAAGAAATACTAAAATGGGAACTGGAAATATCTTTATATGGCTGATTCGTTTTATTTATAAACTGTAACTAGCCAATGCCTTATTCTACAGCCAGAGTCTTGGTGGATATGAGAGACTGTTCTTTTCTGATCCTTTAATCAAATTGCTATTTTTAAAATTCTGGTATAAGTAAAACATTTGTGCTGTGTATTACTTCTTACTTTAAGGGACAGGAAGTCATTTTATAGTGATCTCATGAACCAGCAACTTTACTGTTCCTCCCAATAGGTGAACTTCTTGTCCTCGACACTTAACATCAGCATTTTTTTTTTCTTCACTGTGTTGCATGTCCTGTCATATACTTTATTTCCTTCTTGCAGTGCCCATGGCTGATTTTCTTTCAGCTTTTCTGTGCAGAGAGGGAAGAATTGCACAATCTGACACTTCTGCAAGTGATCATTGTTTAATGATGACAAGAGACTATCAAGAAACTAGATTTATTATTGAATGTTCCTACCTATTTTTAGTCAAGAGCACTATATTTTAGTACTCTCCAAGGATGACTCATAAACCATGTCTTAGTAGGCAAAGCAGAATTGGGGGGTGGGAGGGGGAGGCTGAATAATAATTCTCTAGTGACTTTAAATCAGTGTAGACACATCCTCTGCTTTTTACTCCTCCTTCATTACATTTATTTGGACTATCCACTTTCCCTGTGTGGTGGTTGTATTATCCTTAAATAGGTCATTTTTCATCAGCTGTGTTATAAATGGTCCCTATGAAGAACTATATGCTTAGTGAATATAAACAGTTGATTTCAAGAGTTGAAAAAGAAAACAACCCAACAGAGCTCAGAAGTTTTATTAAATATTTTAAGTTTGAAGAAGAAATCTCTCTATATTAAGTGGTATAAATGCCAGGCATTTGACTTAACAAAGACTTTGGGTGGCTCCAGGTTCTGGGACAGCAAACATAGTCATAGTTTGTGGGCTTCTCTTCATCCCCCATACCCAACAGCACCTGATCAGACTTGGAGCCCCGAATGTCACCTGGTTCTTGGTTGTTACCTTTGTGTTAGTCTTGCCTTCCTTCCAAACAGAAAATACTTCTGTGTTTCCTTCTATCTTCTCCTAAAAATAAAACCATTTGGCCTCTGCTCTAGCATCATTCAGTTGTTGGATATCTTGAATTATGAGTTGTTGTTTTTTTAAAACATTGAACTGAAATGTGATTCTTTTATATTATCTTCCCATAGTCAAAATTGGAAACATCTAGACCTGGGAAACTGAAACTTTTCTGATTTTGTCTTGAAATGTCTGCTGTATTTCCCAGTGATTCCAATAATAATCAGCTCTGATTGTGTGTTAGTTTTTTTTTTTTTTTAATGGCCTATTTACATCCACAGTAGACATTCAGAATATATTTTAGGTTCTATGATGGCAGAAGGTATATTTTAGGTTGTGATTATATGTCATATTCAACTGAGCTTTTTATCAGTGTTAGTCAGTAAACTCCTAAAATAGGAAATATATATAGAGAGAACAACTTTTATGTATTTATGTAGAGAATGACTGTTTTGGGTTAAATTATCCTCACCTTTGCATTGGCTGACTCTTGGTAAAGACCAATTTATTAGTTTAGTCAAACCAAAGTCTGCTTTCAAGTTTCATAAAAAGAAAGCAAGGAACCTTTGATGACTTCTCCCCTGTCGTGTTTAAGTTTAGAAGATATACTATTCTTTTGCAAAATCTACTTAATGTTGGGGATGCTTTCTTCCTTTGTAAATGATTTAAAATTGTTCTTATTAGATATTGATTATATACAAAATTTATAACATTAGTATTAGGCATACAGCTCACCAAACTTAATGTTGACCTTTCTTTCTTTTTACCTCTACTTTAGAGACTTACATGCTATCCTGTCTTCTTTCACACCTGGAGATATATATAGCTAATATCTAGCTATTAGCATCTTTTTTACTAGATCTAATATCTATGCTCTAGGCTTGCTTGCAATGCTTTTTAGGAATGAAGATATTTATTGCTTATTAAACTATAAATACTGCAGTTATTTCAAACCCTTGAGTTTTATAGAAGTTCTTATCCATGGTGCAACAACAGCAACCACAAAAACCTGAGGTTTTGCATTTTCTTAGAGCACATGCATGCATGCCAAGATTCTTGAGAAGAGTTCTCCAGAAGCAGACTTGAGATGAGGATTTCTGCTCAAGTGTTTTATTAAGGGCTCCCAGGAGAAACTAGTGGTGGGGGGAAGGGATGGAAGAGGGGAAAAGCCAAGCAGGGGGATGATTTAAGCAAACTGCCTGCCCCAGCCTGATGCCTGGGGGGCTCTGGGACATAATTGCTCCCTAGTGTCTGTTTCTCTTCAAGGCAATGTTTCTGAGCTTTTCCATTCTGGCATTATGCATTGGCTATGGGCCGGTGGGAGAGGGACTGTCAACTTCCAAGCACTTCTGCTCTCTTCATCTGCAGGTGAAGCAGCTCTGCTGGTTGCAGGGTGTTGCTTTTAAGGAATTTGCAGGTAACATCCCTTAGAAGCAAGGCATGTACAAGTGGGGAGATGGGCACACAGACAGTTAAAGGGACCTAGTGATAGCTGGACAGGGCCCTGAGTATGGCTGGAAAACTTGTGGTTTTACGGAGAGCATTCAGGTAGCTGGCCAGAAAGCAGTCCTCTCCAGAAAAATAAGCTGTAAGAAACTTGTTGGAACAGTAGAGCTTTTTATACACCCCAAGAATACACTCCAAGAATTTGGCTAGTTTCAGTGCATTTTTGTGGTAGAGATATGTTAAAGAACCGATATAGAGCTTATAGAAAAACAGAAGTCAAACCCACTTCTTCCAAGCAATTAGAGGTTTTCTGAAAAACTGGATTATGGCTTCTGGTGACGTGTTACATTTGTCACCTGGCTGGATACATCATGGTTATGTAAGAATCCAAGGTCATGATGATTTACCCAAAGACACCTATGTTTCCTAGTAAGAGTTTTATGGTATTAATTCATATATGTAGTTCATTGATCCATTTTGAATGTGATATGAGGGAGGAGTCCAGCATCATTCATTTGCCTGTGGATCCCCAGTTGTCCCAGCACCATTTAGTGAAGAGACTATTCTTTCCCCATTGAATGATCTTGGCAGCTCTGTCAAGAGTCAGTTGGCCATAGATGTATGGGTTTATTTCTTTACTCTGAATTATGTTTTATTATTCTATATGCCTGTCCTTATGTCAGTAGCATACTGTTTTGATTACTGTGTTTTTGTAGTAAGTTTTGAATTTTGGGAAATGTGAGTCTTCCAACTTTGTTCTTTTCCAGTATTATTTTGGCCATTCAGGGGTCCTCCTCTTCTGCTTTTATTATTGTTGTGTCTGGTTGCAATTCTTGAACTGTGGTTTTACACCTCAGGAGAAAGCAGCAACTCCAGTGAATTAGCCATGTTGTTGCATGTGGGATTACCATAGGCATGGTGGAATCCAAAGGCATGTCTTGCTTATGATCACTCCCTAGAAACCTTGATGAGAACTGCATTAGTGGTATTCACAGCAAAGCCAGTGCAGGCTGCTGGGTTAATGCTGCTCATTACAATTTGAGGGGGTCATGTTCCAGGAGCATTTTGGAAAAAAACAAATTTACAACCTTCCTATTTGCAGTGATAAGTAGAGATTGTTCTGATTTATGCATATGTTTAAATGTATTAGTTATCTTTAATCATAGAAACAATTTTGGAAAAAAAACCATAAAAATGAGCTGAGATACAGGCATCAACATTAGGAAGAAGTTAGAACTGGGGTGAGACAGAGTGAGGAGGAAGGCAGGTGATTTTGCTGGGATCAGTTGCTGAGATGAGTCACATTTGTTTCTAGCGTTTTTGACCTCTAGACTGTTCCTTTGAGCGTGGCAGGGACTATGTGGGATTTTCCTTTTGGAAAGAGCTCTTAGCTGTGAATCCTCAGCAACTGCTCTTTAAGCATTTCCAGATGGTCCTTGAAGTCCTGGTCTAGTGGAAGCTGAGAGATTGTTCCTGCAGGGGAGGCTGGGAGAAACTGCTTTAACCCCTGGATACCTTGACAGTGGGAAGGTATGATAAGGAGCTGACCCTCATTAAGATATAGTTAGAAGCAGGGACATAGTGTTTATGTGTATATATATATTAGACACTCATGAGCTTGGAGCACTGAGTGAAACATTCCAATAATTTTAACAGAACTGCTTGGATTAGACAAATTAAACAAGGTAGGAAGAAATGGGCAAGGGCAAAAGACCCAGGGCCATCTATGAGGGTAGAGGAGGTTAGCTTCTGGACCCACTGAAGCTGAGAAGGAGAGAACTCTGAGAAGCAGATCCCTGAAGGGTAACAGATAGCAATAGGCCTGACCCAGGGACCAGCCAGAACTCATCTCTAAAATCAGAATACCTTGGTCTTCAAGGTTTGGCAGGAGCTTACAACATTGCTGTGAGAATAAAATTCTTATCCGATGCAAACTACAACAAAATTAAA